CTGGCCACCTCACCCAAAATTGTCCGTTAATTAGCACTTCATTAATTCAACCACCCACCATGCCACCAATTCGCTCTCAAAGCTCTCGAAATTCAATAGAGCAAGAGGGTAGGATATTATTAGCTATTCAGGCTTTTCAAAAGCAAGAAATCTCATCAATTCGTGAAGTGGCTCGCCTATTTAACGTACCCCGTTCCACCCTTACTACGCGCCTCAATGGTGTCAGAAATCGCGCGAATTCTCGCGTAAATTCGCAGAAATTGACACAAACCGAGGAGGAAACTCTTCAAAAATGGATTCTTTCTATGGACTCTCGTGGATCTGCCCCCCGGCCTTCTACTGTACGAGAAATGGCGAATCTTTTACTTCAACAACGCGGAACCACCCCGGTTATTTCGGTCGGCGAAAAATGGGTTTATAACTTTGTGAAACGACACCCTCTCCTCTCCTCCCGATTCTCGAGACGCTATAATTACGAACGTGCGAAGTGCGAAGACCCGAAGATCATTCAAGAGTGGTTTACACTTGTTCAAAATACCATCCTTCAATTTGGAATCGACCCCGATGACGTTTATAACTTTGATGAGACTGGTTTCGCAATGGGGCTAATCGCTACTGCGAAGGTGATAACAAGGAGCGAATTCTACGGTCGACGCTCGCTTTTACAACCTGGAAATCGCGAATGGGTGACTGCTATTGAGTGTACAAATTCGTCGGGTTGGGCCCTCCCTCCGTGTATCATTTTTAAAGGCAAAGTCTTTATTGAATCATGGTTTGATGGCCTTCCGGATGACTGGCGATTTGAAGTTAGTCCGAACGGTTGGACCTCTGATGAAATTGGACTTCGTTGGCTTGAAAAGCTCTTTATTCCTAGCACTTCTTCGCGTACGAAGGGGAGGTATCGTCTCCTAATACTCGACGGACATGGAAGCCATTTGACCCCTAAATTCGATGAAATTTGCGAGCAAAATAAGGTTATACCAATTTGTATGCCTCCGCACTCCTCTCATCTTTTACAACCCCTGGATATCGGTTGTTTTGCTGTGTTAAAGCGATCATATGGTCGGCTGGTTGAAATGAAAATGCGGAACGGGATCAACCATATCGATAAACTTGACTTCCTCGATGCATACCCCCTCGCACGAATTGAAGCTTTTAAATCGGAGACTATTAAAAATAGCTTCGGAGCAGCTGGTTTAGTACCTTTTGCACCTGATCGAGTGATCTCGAAGCTGAATATTTATCTTCGAACCCCAACCCCCCTCCAAGCCGGGGTAGCGAATCAAGCCGGAATTTCACACCAAAAACACCAGCTACAGAGAAAGAACTACGTCGACAGGCTTCCTCAATCAAAGCTTTACTTCGTACAAGATCTCGAAGTCCTCCAAGCCCGTCAGATCGTGCATTAGACCAACTTGTGAAAGGCTTCCGTCTCACAATGCAAGGTGCTATACTACTCGCTAAAGAAAATAAGGAATTACGCGCTGAAAACGAGAAGAAGAAGCAAAAGCGGACCCGATCTTCAAGGCATATAGATCACGAAGGAGATCTTTCAGTTCAGGAGGTTCGTGAGCTACGTTCAGAGCCATTTGAGGCCCAAGTAGCGCGTATCAATACCTATCGTGAGCGGGTTTCGGAGGGTTTACAGCCAGCTACACGGGCCGGGCGAGCGTGTGGAATATGCAGATTACCGGGACATAGAAGAGAAACCTGTCCAGATAGATAAATCAATTTAATTGAATTAATTTAATGGTGTTTTGGTTGAGATAAATCAAGTTGAATTTAATGGGCTGGGTGAGGTGGCCAGCTGGCTTACATGGCCAGCTCGCTTACCGAATACGTTAGTTAGTTAGTTAACTAACTAGTGGGGATACAGCGACGACCAGGTAATCAAGGCCTTAGCAACAAGGCGTTCATTTTCGGGGACACAACTAGCATTCGCGGATAGCATCAGCACTTAGAATTTACACACTCCTTTCGTCTCGCGAATTCGTCTCTTTTCAGCAGTCTCGCTCGCGCATGGCTGCGATATGCGAAATTTTTGTATCTCAGTTAGATCGCCCTGGCCTACCACACTATACACGGCACGTTCACCCTGTGGGTGTTGTTGTTTTGTGCCTCTGTGATCGACCCATCTGCTCACGCAAATAGCCAGCGAGCATATGTATCCCATCTTTCAGTATGTAATTCTGACGTAAGTCATGTGCTCTAAGGATCCAGCTGACCTCGCCGTGTCAAGCCTCAACCAATGGTTCCCGTCCCAACCTAACTACAGGGGATGAACTTATCCCTATTTTCTGAGCTTAGAAATGAAGTCTCTCCACATCTTCCTTGGCGCTCTTAACTTATTGATCAACAGAATCTATCACTCGATCGCCACCTTTGACCCACCCAGAATAATTCAGGTAACGAAGCATTGTATAATCTCGTGTGCAATAGATATCGCTCGTGTGGAGTAATGAATTTCAATAATTAGTTGATCGCCAGGGTTATCGATCCACGCAAGTGGATCTCTTACACCTATCAAGGCATCTTAAGCTTTGAAGAATCTTGGTTTCTCCCTGCATTCTATGGTTGCACAGCTTGTACAACAGATAGGCACACCAGTAATGATCGACCGCTACGTTACACACTATGCAGGATTCGGTCAAACTTGCTCCCGAGCTCAGCAGCCCATTGCTTCTATCATAATATTTATAGGTCGCCCTTTTCATCCCTGTGTAAGTAAGAATTATCTCATTCATTTTTACACCAAAATCCACCATGCGGTTCACGCTTCTTCTGATTACACTCCAAGCTGGCCTTTTCATGGCCCAGCCCTCTAATTCCGGCTGTGAAGGGGGCTGTCCTAAACTATACGAGTGCCAGCGGAGCAATATTTGCAATGATCCCTACGGCTGCACTGCGGGTCAAGGAGAGCCGTATTACTCCTGTGTCAAGACGGGGATACTCTGTGAGGATCCCTATGGCTGCACCTAACAATGAGCCAATCAAGAATTCCCCGATCTGTGAGACATGACCTTCTCCGATATAGCCTGGTCAAGCGCGCGTATTAATGATAACCAGGTGTTTTTCAATCAATTCAAAGTCGAGTGGCGATCCAATTAAGAAGGAACGGAGTGAATTAGGCCTCTGGGGCTACGCTGTGTCTCTCTGATGTACTATATTCAAGTTTATTCAGATCGACTCATTCTGCGTGGGCTTCAACTTATATGATTGGCCGATATACTTGTACTATCCAAATAAGAATCCGGCTAATGATTCCCGCCCTTACACCATCTCTCGTATTCCGAGTATTAGTCATCTGGGTTCATTTTCGATTGGCTCACTTGCATTTCATTCTCTATTCCCCTGGCTTTCGTTTGAGGGCCAATGCGTGCGACACGCGTCTTCCAGTTGTAAAATACTAAGGCCCCAAGCCAAAATGAATCAAACGCCTTGACGCACAGAAACTCCGGCTCCTAAAATAATGTGGAGCTAAACAGACCTTGGGGTATAAAAGATAGCTGTTAAACTTGTTCGGAATCATCGAGAATTTCTCCGGTGCCCTAATCAAGTAGCATGTTGATTTTATCACAGTAGCCCATTCTTTTATATCACGTAGGAAGCGACGGGCGGTTCCAATCTGAATTCCTCGTTGAACGAAGTAGCCAGCGTCTGGGTCCTCAAGGATCAGTTCAAGATCGAGGTGGTTTTCTAACGTCACCTGGCAGATTTTCCGGAAATCTGCTTTATACTCCTCGTCGGTGGCGTGCTTTAAGCCACTTATAGTAATAAGTATTACCTCTAACATTATATCTTATATAATTATATTATATAAGATATTACTTCTCCTATAAAATATTATAACCTACTACTAGGCTATAATATTCTATCTGCTAAATTACTCACACTAGCTATAATAGGATAATTTAATAGATTTATAAAAATACTAACTAATCATAAGTATTAAAAGGTTTTTTTGTCTTTCTCGGATATTTAGGATAGCTATTTATTAAATATCAAAATATTTTAATTAGATTCAAATATTTTGTGTACTAACAATCACATTTTCTATCGAGTTGGCAAAACGCATATAAATAATAGTAATTTATTCTACTATGTTAGTAGACTGCGACATCGCCCGTCCACGGTGGGCGGTGGGCTATTTGGATTTTCGAGTGCCCGTCCATAACGCCCAAGGCCTATAGGTATGCCTATCCCGGGCATGCCCACTATGCCCACCATTGTATAAAGTCACCTAAATGGACGTATAACTCGCTGACTTTACATAATAAATAACTGTTATTTGCACCTATTTTGCCAACTCTATATAAAATCGCGGTTATAATCTATAATATCTATAGTATAATTTAATAAGTTAATAAAAATACTATATAATATAATATATTTCGATTAAAATTTTATTTCAAGTCGTATTATATATATATTAGTTTCTTATATACTCAGATATTTTAGTAAAATTTATAGATATTATAGATTATAACCGCGATTTTATATAGAGTTGGCAAAATAGGTGCAAATAACAGTTATTTATTATGTAAAGTCAGCGAGTTATACGTCCATTTAGGTGACTTTATACAATGGTGGGCATAGTGGGCATGCCCGGGATAGGCATACCTATAGGCCTTGGGCGTTATGGACGGGCACTCGAAAATCCAAATAGCCCACCGCCCACCGTGGACGGGCGATAGGCACCTCCTAGGTGCCCATGGACGGGCGATGTCGCAGTCTATTTAATCCTAACCTTAATCTAAATATTAATCCTAGTCTCTATAATAGCTAATAGACTTCGATATTAGTGAAAGAGTCTAAGTTCACTTAACCGGCTATTCTTAATTACTCTCTTAAACGCGTCGGCCCCGATCGGAGAAAGTAGTTGATCCGCTACGACACGATAAATAACGCGTCTAAAGTAAACTATCCTTCAAAGTCTCTTGCCGAATGCAAAGCTTTCAATTGCATCAGATTGTTGGACATCCCCTTTCTCTCAAGCATTCATGGCTATCACGGGCTACTTCATTGATGAGGACTGGAACTATCGTGAGATTTTACTTGGCTTCCAGCCACTCCAAGGAGCTCACTCAGGTGCTAATTTGAGCGCGGTTCTCTTGAAAACTTTCCAACAACATCAAAATGTTGATCGGGTACTGGCCGTGACAACTGATAATGCATCAAACAATAACACTTTGATCACTAGTATCCAGGAGTCAATTCAGACACTCGAGCTTGATGAGCAGATTACTATAATCCGCATTCCATGTATCGCACATGTGATTCAGCTCAGCCTCAATAAGCTTCTCAGTCGGATCCAAGTCAACCCAAAAATTCAAGTAGTGGAAAGAGATAGTCGGAGAGTCGGTCTCAAGCGCTTCAATCGAATCAACGTAATAATGAGATTGCAAATACACCGAAAAAAGGTAAATCATATTCCACGCCGCTTTGCTGTCGCTCTACTCATTTATTTTCAAGATTCGTGGTTTAGCAGCTTTCATCAATGGAAGCCCACAACGCCAAGATGCTTTCTAAAATTTTCAGATAGAAGAACCGAAACTAGTTCCGATTCAAGACGTACGCACTCGCTGGAACTAGATACTCGGTGGTAGTAGATCTTACCTATCGCACGAGACACATCTATCTGCAAGGGATGGAAGTTCCCTTACAGACGTGCCCAAGTGTCCTTCGTACCTTTACTCCTTGATAGTCCCTTAAAACCTCTTTTATAAACCTTTATCCTTCTTCTTCTCAGGTCAACCTAGAGTCCAATAACGACGACATCATCATGAACCTCCGCGCCATCCTCACGGCCCTGTCGCTAGACGTGCTCGTCGCCTCTGCTGCCGGCGTTCCAGCCACAGCTACGGCTCTAACAAACACTCTGCATATAATGATGGCTTTATCCTCGTTAACAGCGAACTCTGCAATTGATATCTTTACTTGGACAGCGGATCACTTCTTACCGGTGGGTTTCACCTCAGACTCTTGGGATTTATTCCGGAAGACTCAGTGTTTACCTAGGATGTCTACGGCGGATTTGAGTTGATCACCACCGCCGCGGAGAACGAGGTTGTGGTACTTTCAAACTCGCAGGAAGCGGTCGCAGGAGCGATAAATGAAAGTATGCAAAAGGAGATCTGTGAGATGTATCGCGCTGTAGGTTACTTTTTCCCCTCCTTTCTCTCTTTCTTTTTTTCTTCCCCCTTTGCTTAGCTTTGAAACTTCATAGTTCGCCGATGTCCATCGAATTCTCTTGGGGGTCATAATTGGAAAGAAAGACATTCTCGCCATGGTCTTGTCGAATGCTACTGCTGCGCCCCCAGACGTCCTACCAACTATTGAGGACCGCTTGAATGAATGCAGCAAAGCCATTGCGTCATTGACTCAGTTGACTCTTCCCCTGGTTCCGATCTGCGTGGGTGGTATTTTGGATGATCAAAGACGCTATAATGAGCTTACCGAGGAATTAAAGTTGGTTCTCCATTAGACTTGGAGTATTTAGGATCGACTTGTGAATGTGATACACCTGAAAGGCGACTGTTTTTTTGTTCTTTTTTACTAGCACCCTAAAAAGCAAGCTGCCTTAAGCAGCCTTGAAGTCTTCTAAGGTTTTGATCTACATACCGGGAGAAGCCAGCGGTCCGCAAATGTGGACCGGGCTATGCCAAAAAGGGTTAGGGGTTGGTAAATTCTATGAGCGAGGCGGGGTTGGGCACAACGGAATGGAGCACGTGAACAATAATTTGACCCCACTGCAGTGCTCAATCTCTAATAAGATTTTTATATTTACTGTTCAAGCATCTTCATTTAATCCTGTTATAAAAGCAGCCACGTAGCGTGAGTAGAATATCTTATACCGTGATTCTTATAGCAAAGATGACTGGCGGGAGCTTCTCTGTGGGTTTCTGTTGTGATATGAGGCTGTTGCAGATCAAGAAGCTTCCAGTTCTTTCTACGTGGAAGAGATACATGATGCAAGTAGATGCCTTCACTGTGTATATATATAGCCTCGTGTCCCCCTCTGAGAAAACAAGCAATCGATACCTCTGAACTACAGCATTCCTTCGTTTCGGCTACATTCATCAGCATCCCGGCATTACAGAATTGAGATCATCTATACTTACCACACGCAGCATGATATGGCAAATCCTGTACGTCGGTTTTCCAGCCACTCTTCCGCGCAGGACAGAACGGAAAGCGCTCGGCACTGGTCGCAGCGTACCAATACGCACTCGTGGGCTTGTTCCTCATCTTCAGCCAAACAAAGCACATAGTGGATGCTTTCGAGCTCTTCGCTCAAACTAAGACTCCGGAGCGTACCCGCCCAGATATTAGTGACCGACGTCAGGATAGCTGGTCAAGCCGGCGAAACGTGCCATGGAACACTGTTGGTCCGCAGCATTTCGGCAGTGATAAAGGGATTTATTAATTGCACCGGCTCGGAGCTGGTTGAGAGGGGCACCGGCGTGTCTTGTCTGAGCCCGTGAGGTGGTGACCGGTCAGTGTTGTCTGATGCAGGGCGTCGCCTGGAGGCTGGCGAGGTCTAACGCTGGCCCGGATTTACGATAACCGATTGAGAGGCAATTCTAGAGTCATATAGTACTCGCGACTGGTTGCGGACGGCTGCTTCATACCACTACTGGCCAACCTCATCGGCCTGTCGTTGCCTACGCCACCTTACACAGAGCTTGGATTGCAAACTTGACAGGGCGACAGTGTTTAGCTTTTGATGGCCTATCTTGGTGTCTTCAAGTCTGATCGAGTTTTTGTATGGAGCACCTTTTTTTCGTCATCCCGTAATAGAAGCCAGGACCGCCATTGGGGCTGACTTCTATCTCACAAATAATAAACGGATTCCAAGGCAACATGGTAGACATTGAGGTGGTGGAAAAAGGCAGAAAATGCTTCTGATAGGAGTTGGTGTTGGACAATCTCCGCAGCGTTCCCTCACCAGCTTTATATACCATCGCTATAGTCTACTTACCTAATGGCTGTGTGGCTGCTGGTATACAAAGCCTTCGTTGAGGCACTCGATACGTCGAAGAATGCATTCGGATACAATATGCGCCGGTATGGGCCGATCAATGCCCTGCGAGAAGGGATAGAATTCCAGATCACTACTGCCCAAATCAGCTACACTTGTGTCTGTAGATTGCGACGACGATGCATTGGTAAAAGGATTGGCTATAGTTGTTAGTAGCATAGTCGGCAAAATTGCGAGTTGCCTCCATACATTTCGAAGTGCGTGCAGGTTGTTATTTGCTTCAACGCTTTTGCGCTAGATGCGAGAAGTGGGTATTAAGATAGATTCGGCTTCCAGACCATCGACACACTACCAGGAACTGATTCCCCGTTCCCAGGAGCTGGAATCCAGAGATTCTCCAACTCCGCCTATGAATGAAATTGTTGTCAAGGTGTTGATGCTGCCGTGTGATTGCTACGCATCTCAGCAGAGTGACGGGCTACACTCCTAGCCAACCACGGGATTTAGCCGAGGCGAGTATATAATAGCCTTCTATATCCAACTGTCACACATCTCACCTCACCGTCATCTACATTTTATTTGCTTCCTAGCTCCAACCTGCTGTCCAATCATGGTCTGTTTCGATACGTTCTTACTGAATATACCGACGAGCTAACAAATTACAGCCAGACCTCATATACCTGCCCAACGAGCTTTTGCTGTGGATTGTGTCGCATTTGGACGGCAGTGCATTATTTGCTCTCGGAAAATCATGCAAAAACCTTCATTTTAGACTGCAACCCAACATCTGGAAATACAAGACCAAATTTCAGAATAGCAATCTGTTGCACCTGGCCGTCAAATACGACAACGTTGGTCTTGCGGAGGTTTTGCTCCAGCACAATGCCAACATCAATGCATTTTACCGCGGCAAAACTCCTTTAATGAGGGCGCTAAAATACTCTTCCGCTGCTGTGCGTGAACTCTTGCTCAATCGTCGAGACCTAGGCATCAACATCCAAAATCAAGCGCGCGACAGCGCCCTGTCGTATGCCATCCACTATGGAAACTTCTCCACCGTCAAGAGCATCCGGGAACAACCCAGCGTCAGAGTGGACGTCAAACACAAACACGGCCGAACGGCGCTCCACCTAGCGGTCTTCGGAGGCAGAATAGGCTTCGTGCATCTGCTAATTTCTAGTGGCAGCGACCCTGATCTACGGGATGGCTCAGGCCATTCGCCGCAGGCCTGGGCACGTCGCTTCAATCGTCCCGGTCGACTTGCTCCTGAGCCACCCCCTTTCCAGCGTGGACTGCAAAGATAAATATGGCAACACGCCGTCTTTGGCTGTCTACTTACTCGTCATGCGACGAGATCACCGAAAGGCTGTTGGCTGAGCAAGATATCAATGTTAATTTTATTGTAGGCTGTGGGGGATTTCAGCCGTCTACATCTCTACACCATGCCGCGACCAGATTGGATACCGTGCTCCTATGACCGCTGCTTGGGGTGCCAGGGATCGACTTGAACCTTTGGATTGCAGGTCATTCTCCAATATCGATTGACGCATCGCATGGATGCGTGAGCACGGTTTCTTGTCTACTGGATTTTGGTGGCGTAGAGATCAATGGGAGGGCTTTAATAGATCCGCCAATCTGTCGAGCAGCCGCACACGGCCATCACGATGTGGTCAGGCTATTATTGCAACAAGGCGCACGTCTGCACATCAGTCAAAGCACGATCGTATGTCACGACACTGCTCCCTGCATTGCTGCCCGTGGTGGCGACTTGGAGATGGTCCAGGCACTATTACGCCATGGCCAAATTGATGGCAACATCAGAAATCGATGATTTAAGGATCCATTGATGTTGGCGGTCAAGGGTGGACATTTCTCGATTGTTGATGCACTTGTGGTGAATCCCAGACTGAAATACTCCAGTTTGAAGAGATCCCTGGATATAGCAAGACACGATTGCATCAAGAGGACCATTCGAAGCAGCATGACAGAACTGGTCCCTAGGAGCTAAGGGCTGGTAAATAAATTTTTGGAATCAAGTCTAGCTATAGTTATAAATATATAATTCTATAACTCTATTATCTAAAATTAATAACATATAATATTATTATTACCTACTATAATTTATCGTAATATAACTCAATTTTATAAAGTTTCTCGATGCTAATAAAGAAATAGACTATAAATCTAATATATAAACTAGAACACTATTAAATAACCGTAATTTAAAGTGATAAGTTAGCACTTTTATATATCTAAATTAGGAAAGGTCAACCTTTTTTATACAAATAAGGGCCGATAAGGGCCGATAAGGGCCGCTCGAGAGCGGCCCTCTAGATGTTTTTAATGAGGTCTAAGCCTCGTAGATATTGATGGTGGCTAAAGCGGCGGCTTTGACCGGCTTCATGTGTTGTCAAACTGCTTAGACCAGAATAAATACATAGTTCTATCAGTTGAATTTGATGGCTTTAACCATGAGTAATTGATGGGCGTGAAATTGATAGTTGGGTAAATACTTCCGGCTCAACAGGAAAAAGCTAGAGCCAACCACCACGTAAATGATGGCAGACTCGAGCTGTGGAAGTGCAGTGCTTAACCAAATTCGGTTAATCAATTAACAAAAATTATCCAGAGACTATACTAGACCTATTATTAAATAATCAAGTTCATTCAACCTGGATTTTGCAATCACTTTTTAACGAAGATTGGCGAGATAAACACTTAAATATTGAAGGCGAAGAGGTTCAAAGGCCATTTCCGCAAGACTGGGTTGTATAGACAACTCGGATCAGTCCTGGAGGTACGGAGTATGTATCTAGACACTTGACAAAACCCCCCTGCAAAATTACATTTCATCCAATTCGGGCTCCCTATTTTCCATCGTTGAAGTCTTGGTTTGAGGCTGTTCGTTCACCTTAATGTCACCTCGATCAGCCTTAACCTAAAAATGACGTCTCAGCGGAAGCGCTCTTCTAATGATGATAATTCCTCTGGTAATTGGACTCAATGGGAGGGGGTAAATACCGCAGCCTCACTCAAAGTAGCTTGCTTTTCATCCCATTTATGGGCTTCGTTTGCTTTCTTTCGCCCGTCCAGGACGAAAGACGATGATGCAAAATCATCAGGGAATGAGGGAGCAAAGTAGATGGGAGGAGTTCCGTTTGTAGAACTAGATTGTGGGATATTGTGATAGCAAACCCGTGAAATGGGACTAATTTTGACAACAGACAAAGGCCTGATAACTCCAGGTCGGATGACAGCACCAAACGTCATGGCTGTTGAGGTTTGTAACTGAAGTGAGTATAGCAGCTGGTCTCTCCTTTGATAAAATGGTCTCAGGTATGATGTGTTCCAAGTCGATTTAATAAAATACAAGCAGCGAAGCTCTACTGATCAGCTGATTGATAAGTAAATGTCACTTAGGTCATTATGACCTCGGGAGGTTCGTTACCCCACACCATCCGGCTCTAATATCCTATTGTGGTCTACGCCACCTCGAGTCTCTCTAGACCTCGTTTATTAGTAGTAATTCACGTATGGGCCACTTATTAATAACATAATTGCGGAGCGAAGCGAAGCAATTTAAATCATAAGGGAGTCGTGTATCACGCACGTGATAAGAAGTCCCCCAACTTGTGCTCCCAAGCAGTATTGACACATTTCAAAATATTTCAACTAGATTTGTATTTTTTACATATTTACAATCATAATTCCGGATTTTTAATGAGATATATATAAATATAGATAGTATAATTTACTATATATCTGATTTTTATATATATTTAAGACAACTTTATATAACGGTGGACATAGTGGGCGTGCCCGCGATAGGCATGCCCGTGGACGGGCGATGGGCACCTAGGAGGTGCCCATGGACGGGCGATGTCGCAGTCTAGGCCTAAAGTTAGGCTTTGCGGAAGTCTACACGTGGTACTATTAGAAGTCCCTTTCTGGTCGTTTCCCTCTATTGAATCAGATAGTAAACTAAACATCTCCTAGTTATCTTATGTAACTATCCTATATTTTACGATATAAGAACTAGGCACCGGGGGATTTTCTGACTATAGCCAAATCTTAGCATTACGGTCGGAGAAACAATCAAGTAAAACAAGAGGGATTAGGGTAGGCCTGAGGATCTGTAAGGTATCACTTCCGCCTACCACTCCCATGTCGAAGTGACGATCTAGGGGCCTACTCGGTACATACCAAATAGCACAAACAGTGACTTACAACGCATGTACCCCCATCCAAGCTACATCTTAGTGATATAATACAGAACCAGTCGCAAACCTGCCCTCAAATGGCCCAGGCGGCCGAAGACAGCACAGTGTCTGGGCTCAGGGGCTTGCTTCTTAGTAAGCTTCTCTCCTGTGGATCTGTCCAAACGGGCTCTAGTGGTACTTTACCACTGACAACATGTATGTTAAAATGACGTCACTATTTTCTATAGTCCTTCCAACAATTGATAGAGAGGCTCTTCACTTGAATTATTCACTTTTCAACATTCGCGACTTACAATTTTTCTAATGTCTTATGAAGACAACCACATCACAATCGAATACAACCTTGGAGTGGATTTACGTGACTAAGTTTCTAGCGCGCAACCAATTTGACTTGCCAATGTGCGATGGACAAGGGCCAGAAGGCAATTGACCCAATCTAGACACGAGGCGGAGCGCCAAAGGCGCGCTAGTCTCGTGCTTACAGAGTTACATTGTTCAATACATTTGTGACAGGCTGATACTGCGCTAACAAAATCCCCCAGTAGCTCGCGCGGGGCTACATGGTTCTGCAGTATAAAATATGCCTGCGAGGCCTTCTGGTCTCACTGCATATGCATTGAAGTCTTTTCTTCTGATTCGCAATGGCTCCTGATCTTCAGGCGCTTTTCTTCAATTATGCCTCCCTGCTGTCGGCCCCCGCCTGGAAGATCCTCCCCCCTTGAGTTTACTGTGGGGGGCTTACCAGATCAACGGACATCTTAGTCGTCGAGCGCTGAATAACGGCGTTTCGGCTACATTTGATTGGAAAAAGGAAATCGTGCTCGTGACGGGGGGCTCAGATGGCATTGGTGCGGCAACAGTGCAAAAGCTGGCCGAGCGTGGGACTACCATCATCGTGCTCGACATCCGGCCTTTGACCTATGATGCTCGTAAGCACTTTCTGAATTGATGATCTTGGTGCCGTGGCTGATCTTTGGTCTAGCAAAATGCGTGCACTTTTATCGATGCGACGTGACAAATCGGACCGATATGGAATCAATCGCCAACACTATTCGTCAGTGCGTGGTGTTCTTCCCCCATTCTATGCTTCGGGAAAACTCATGTTAATCCAGGGAGATTGGCGCACCCTCCTGTGTGGTGGCTAATGCGGGCATCTGTCGCGGTAAACCCTTGCTCCAGGCGACCCAAAAAGACATTGAATTGTAAGAAACTCTTGATGTGGGCTTCCTGGAAGCGATTAACTGAAGCCTCTCTAGGACATTCTCCGTGAACAACCTCGGTCTGATATGGACCGTGCAAACATTCCTTCCTTCCATGGTCGCGCAGAATCACGGTCACTTCCTAATACTCGCATCGCAGACAGCCCATTTGGCTACAGCTGGCGTGGTGGACTACGCCGCCACCAAGGCAGCCGCGCTGACTATCTATGAGGGCCTCCAAACAGAACTCCGTCATATCTATCAGGCACCTGCGGTGCGCATGTCGTGTCTGTCGCCCTCGGCCGTAAAGACTAAAATGTTCCGCGGCATCCAAATGCCCGACTCTGTCCCGCTCTTGCGGCCCAGTGATGTTGCCTCAGTCGTCGCTGAGATTCTCTGGAGCGGACGGGCGCAGAATAAGATGACGCCTGCCACAGCTTACATCTCACCACCGACAAGAGCGCTCCCAGATTGGATTAGGGTGAAATTGCAGGATTTTGGAAAGGATGTCATGTCGACTCTTTCGCCGCATCAACCTATGGAAGAGGTAGAGTGAACTGCTTTCTATGATTGTTCGGTAGTCTATATAGCCTGTTACTGTCGCATAAATAGAACGAACTCAGCGTGGACTCATCTACTGTTTTCAATATCCGAGCCTGCCTGATCTCGTTGCGGAAGTCTGCGCTTGGGCAGGCTTTCCTCCAGCTAGTAGACCTCTTTCCCCAAACATTTCAGCTTACTTTGTCTTCATCTCCACCACTCCCAGGAAATCCTTACTCTTCAGAAATCTATCCTCAAGTTTCTCTATCATACGCGATATCATACGCGATAAAACCGTACCCGCAATCCGCCCTTGGGCCGTGAAGTCAACCCGGTCTCAATGGTTATCTCCGATTCCTGCGCCAGCGTCATCTCAAACGTGCCCACCAGCGCCGCGACAAGACTGGCGAACTCCCCACGGGCAAATCCCTGCCCTATACAAGACCGTGGACCTAAAGATTGGGTCAGATAAGCGAGACTCACAAGACTTAATAACGAATACGCACCATGAAGAAAAGTCATGAAGGAAAAGTTCGTCAGGCCACCCCCAGTGTTGGCCATGTTTGGCCCGAGCCATCGATCGGGATTGAAGATGTGCGCATCTTCACCCCATAATTCTCGCGACACATTCAGGGCGCGAGGTGAGATCACGATCTCCGTGCCTGCGGGAATAAACTGGCCTAGGATGGAGGTGTCATTCAACGCTACCCGTCGAGTGAGACCGGCAGGCGGGTACAGACGGAAGACTTCATTGCAGAAGGCATGCAAGTATGGCAGACTATCCAGGAGTTCGGCCGTCATCGGCGTCCGTGAACTATCGTCCAAAATGGGCGGCAGTCGGTCGCAAACCTCTGTGCGTAGTTTTTCTTGGATCTCCGGGTATAAACATAAGGCATAGAGAGCCCAGGTCATTGATGTCGCCGTGGTTTCATGTCCAGCCGCCAGAAAAGTCAACAGATGGTTCTCCAGCATTGAGTCTGTGAAATTGCCCGACGCCAGCGCGACAGAGATTATATCTCGTCCGTCACTGTCGCTATTTTCGGCGCTGCCCTTCTTGTTGGAGATCAGCCGGCGTGCCACGCCTGTCAATACGTTGGTGGCCTTGGTGATACTGTCACGGCGCGGCAGACCCAGAGCGGTTATGACCATCTCACGCAACAGGAATATGCCCATGGCCAGAATGCCTTGAGGGGGTCTTTGCTCAAACACGCCCCGGTAGGCACGGCAGATCTCATTGTCTGGATTATGGAGTGTGTCAAATTCCTCCCCGAATCCGGCCGCGCCCAGGATATCCAAGGTTGCCCGTGCCAGCCAGTCCGTCACATCGAAGACCTTACTCGATAGTTTACTCGAATGATCCGCAGTCTGCACGACGGCTTCATCAAGTACTCTGGCCAGCGCGACGGACTTTTCCCAGAAAATGGGATAGAGGTTTTTGATGTGTCTGTGTGAAAAGGCAGGCATCAAGTTTTTGCGTTGCGTCTATTGACATTGTTAACCTTTTATAATTCATCTATTGCTTCTTCTCGCAAAGAACGAGTGCATACCTTATGTTCATTGCCTTCGGCAATGATCAATCCAATCCCCAGAATCCGACCCAGCCCTAGTCGCAACTTATACGGCTTGGCGAACTCGTAGTTCTTCTGAACTAGGACCTCGGAGAGACCCTTGGGACTGGTGACAAATACTACCTCCTTGTTGAAGCGCATGCGATATCGGATCAGCCCAGTGTTGGATACATTGTTAATCCATTCTTGCAGAGGCATGCCCGATCGCTCGTTCGGAACCAGTTTCACATGGCCGCGAAAACGGTGACCACCCTATATCATACTTGTTAGTGTTTTGATTCCTAAGTATAGCGATCTCATGCAATTTGGACTTACCAGCGGTTCGGGCAATTTGCGGAGAGGACTGAACCAGAAGGGCCACAGATAGAGCTTCCAGTACACCAGGGAAACCAAAGAGAGAAACGCAGACAATGTTACAATCAGGATGATCGACGTGGAGATCTTCAATTGCCAGAAGATGCCCGCTGGCAGCAAGAAGCTGACGACGACTACGTTCAGGGTGGACATGGCACCCATTGGGAACTGAGAGGATTTCAACTTATTTCTTCTCCTGTCTGTCCTTTTTTCTCCTTTTCTTCTATTCTCCAAGAAAGCGCAGACTAGTCCTGCAGTCAGCACAAAAGACATCTCCACTGCGGGGAGTTCAGTTTTTGTGTCGTTTCAATCCCTCGTATTTTGCGTATTACACCCGCAGGATCATAATTACCTTGCGCGTATCAATACTCTGTGGTCGTACTCTGTGATTAATTTCTCATTCCGATAGGCAGAAATCTTATTGCTTATGATTAAACGGAACGTCGGGTGAAAGTCCTTAGCCAGCTTCAATTTTAGTATATGATTACTAGCATCTGATTACGATCAATTGGCCCAGTAGAACTCTTCGAGATATCACATCAAGGATGCGCTATGTCCATTCATTCTCAGGAAGGTT